GATATCTGAGCTAGACTGATAGATAAATGATAGGATGACACCTGGTGCTTGCCCTGGGTCTTCTGGATCATACGGAGTGTACATCCTATAAGCCTCCTTCAGCCTCTCTAAAAATGCAGCGGGTGTTTCTTCTTTTCCCTGTATCACATTCCTTACCTGAGCCAAATTGGTAGGCCTTCTGGCGGCCGCTCGGAGACCTGCTAAGAGCAACTGGCGATAGAGACGTAGATGCTCCCTACCTTCAGGTGTATTGAAGTCCCAGTCTGGGCGGGTCAAGGGAAAATCTGCATTTATGATATTTGGGAGTTGGGTTGGCCTCCCGTCATCGCCCGGCACCTGCTTCCGGGCCTCCAGGAAAACTCTCTGCTTTTCCTCTACTGTTAAGAGGGTCTGCAGGAGCTGCTGACAGTCGTCCCAAGTCGGCCTGTGAGTCACTAGGATGGACTCAATTAGGCTGGTCAAGGCAACAGGATCCCTGGAGAAAGGGGGATTATGTTGTTTCCAATTATAGAGGTCTGAGGCTGAAAAGGGCCAGTACTGCAACTGATGATTCGGCCCCTCTCTGAGCGGGAAGGCCCTGGACTCATTAGGGGGGTCATCCCAGCGGCTGCGGAGGCGGCCGGCAATGGGGGACGGGGCTGCGTCCTCTTCTTCAGCCCCGTGGGTCCTGCGAGTCGAGGTGACTTCCGGATCTGCCACGGGCACGCCTGGGGGCGCCGCCACCGGGGCGGCGGCTAGGGCCGCTTCGGCCGGCTCTCCAGGTGGTCCGGCTTGATATGGTGGTGGGTCCTCCGTCAGGAGATATATAAGGGGGGTATGGGGGTCTGGGGGAAGGACTGGAGGCTTAGGAGTCTCCTTGTGAGGGAGAACGGGGTAAAGGGAGGACTCTGGGTTGGGGGGCGCAGAAGGCCCAGAGACTGGAGGGGGCTGTGGAAGGAAAGGCTTAACCCATGGAAATGGTTCTCGACCAGTGATCTCCAGATGGCGATATACGGGACCTGGTCGGGATGCCCATAAGGGTTAGGGGCAAAAACCTTGCCCTCCACCTGTGAAATAAGAGAGAGGTTAAAAGATCCCTCTCGCGGCCAGCCGACATTCATCATGACCCATTCGGCCTCGCAGAGGGTGATCCATTTGTTTTTCCTGATGATGACACCTTCATTGTTTCCTCGGGCCTTAACATCGGACCAGTGGTCCGTGGTTAGGCTCAGTGGGGTGGCGACAGCCTGTCCCATGGTGGTCTCTAAATAAAGAAGGGTTAGACACACAACGAGAAACAAACAGACAAGACAGACCACAGAATTTCGCGCTGCACGGCTCCGGCGTAAAACCGAAAACAAAAACTCAGATGGGGACGCGGAGTGTTTGTATTCTCCTTCCCCTGCCAGTACCACGTATCCTTCTGATACGGGGGTGACCCCGAAAAACCGTGCCCCAGAGGGGACTTCAGATACCCGTGGAACGTCTTCCAGGGTTTCGGTGGGCGAAGTCCGAGCTCGTCAGCTCCTTCAGCCCCCACCGACTCAGACCTGACTTAGGACGCCCGACGAAAA